CACAAAGGCAAAACTGTAAATAAATAATTGATACAGTGCTTATCGATTCAGAATTATAACACAAAATATCGCAATATTTCAATGTATCAATATTTTCTTAAATCCCCACTGTGGCAAATATATGTATTATGACTTTTAAAACAGGCTGGTTAGATAATAACGTAATGAGCAGTCAACATATTTATCCATGTTTTATTAGCCCGGCAAGCCACCCTGTGTATGTGAATATACTGTATAGACTGGCCACGACCCAACAGAGCTAAGTCATGGAGCGTAATCTACGGTTGTCTTTCGAACTGTCTCTGCATGCTATTGGTCAATGAGCAAAGTGACGTAGTCACCGCTACAGATGTCAGTCAGCTGGGCTGTTCGCCATACACTGTCGAAGATGCAAATACATCCTTTTTCTAAATAAAGGACTTCAGTACCTCTATCTGCTCTTGACTAGTTCAAAGTTGATGTCAAAGCTGTTTCAAAAGAGCCAACGCCGTCTTTGGTGTTTCACTCAGTCACACTAACACCACCAAACCGATAGAGCGCTGTGATCAGCACGCCACCAGCCTGTTCAAGGCTGCCCACGTTCCAGTGGAGCGCGGCTAGACCAACGTGCAGCGCTAAATCATTTAGCTTCTGCTACGGTCTGCCTAGATTTCTGCTAAAGTTTTGTATTTTTAGACTGATTTTATTAAAGGTAAATATTTCACTAAACTTTATAAATCTTAGAATTGAAACACAAAATATTACAAAACCAGCATAAGATAGGCTTTTGGTAAATTACGGAAATAGAAACGTTATCATTTAAAATGAGTTGCTTTGGGAAAAGTAGTGATCAGTCACATTCTCACAGGAAGTCAATATCTGAGCTCTTCCACGGATAACACTTTCCATTACTTCACATGGTTCAAACGGGATGTTGTCTGGCTAAGATTTTATTCACATTTAGCCACAAAGTCTTTGTAGTTTTATACCTAACCACACCCCAACGCTCTCCTCGTGGTCTTTAAGGTATTTACTGCCTGTTACATAAAGTCCATAAAGTTCTTTGGAAGTTGAACATCGATCTCACTAACGTCGGATCTTCAAAAAGATCATTCCTTGTTCCATTTTTGATCCTACTAATCTTAACTCAGTCACAAAATAGTTGGCATTACATCATTGCAAGATACATAATTAAGTGTTATCCAAAAGGAAAGCTCGAGGACATCAGTGCATCAGAGTTGGACGAACGCACGGTGCGTTACGACCGCTCTGTGTCCTCAGGCGCTCTAACGGGAGAAGGGTTAGCCAGCTCGCGTGCAAATGTAATTCCCAGACAAACTGCACAAGGGAGGGAGTGTCGGCTGGCAAGTGCTGCAGGAATGCTATTGTTAATCACACACACACAAAAAACATTCATGGGACTTTATCTGTTTCATACGAAGGCTGTTCTCTTCCTGAGTTGCTACTTCTGTCGTTTTTGTTGTATTTTTTGTTTTCACTGTGTTTTCTGGTTGTACAAACATATGTGCATTGTCACGGTTTCTGATTTATTTAATCCTCTGGAGGCAGGCGTTGCAGATTTGCAACATTAAAACCTACCTACCTGGTTACTCCACATACGTATTTCATGATCAATTTTAACTCAGAAGTACCCCTGAAGGACTTAGTTGTTTGTCCTTTTATCAAAACTTATTTTTAGCCTGAGAGGGTTAAGGGAGACATCAAAAAAAGATTCAGCAGAAGACAACAGCCTGAGATGACAGAGGCTCCAACCCTCCTGCTGCTTTTGTCCTTGTAAGGAGACTCCCAATGTTTTCATTTTGACTCAGTCACGACAAAGTTTCAGGGAGATCAGAACCACGGCTCAAGCAAAAAAAAGGACGGATAATGAACCAGCAGCACGCTGTAGACATGTTTAGATTAGCAGCTTTTATGCTGTAAAACATCTGATTGTGTGGACGCACCTGCAGCTTGGACGACTCAATTATCTTTGACATATTGTTGATGGAAAGACGCCTTCCCCATCCCTCGTGTGCATTTACTTTTCCTTTCCAGTTCTCACTCACCGTTCAGGTGATAACTGTGAGATCCGTGGTGCGCTCATAAGGAGTGACAACACCAGTGATGTAAATGCTGTGAGAGCATGCATCTGCAGAGGAAGCGGTGCAGCTGTGAACTCCTGTGAACTCTGCCCGAGTCCTGCGGCAGACCGGCTGAGTGTTGTGGACACAGTGAAGCACCAATGCCAGCCTTTTTTTTAGGTTTCAGAGTGAGCTGGCAGACTCTGCATAGGAATACTTCCCTCTAAGTAGACAGGGAGTATTCAGCAGAGTTTAGCTGGGAAAGCGACGTACAGTATGTTCTAATTCATGGCCAGCCATGCTGACAGCCAGCTTCAGATAACCTTATGTCTGCCTGTCAGTGAACTTTTGTGATCTGGCATGCAGACGTCCTCCCATTGCCTCACCCAGAAACCCCCTTTTTCCTATATTAATCCTGCTCCGTATGGCCCACAGTGACTCATCCTCCACATGGGTGTCTGAACCTGCCGTCACTTCTTAATGAGTTTCTTCTTCGTTCTGCACGTCCAACCATCTTTTGGGAGGCATGTTTGACTCAGCATTTCTGTTTTTATATCCCACTTTAAAAAAGTCCCGACTGAAGCACCAAGCTAAAGCCTCTGGGTTTCTGTGTGGAATACAAATTGCAAAAATGATTATAGCTGGTGTGCTGCGTAATATTGAAATGACAAAAGGAGAATCTAAGTAGCTAATTGGAGGGTCTGGTGTTTTATTTTTAGCAACACCGGGTCTGAACTCTGTGACTCAGTTGGTGGGGTTGTTTTATTGCATGTGGAGTGATTGTCATCAGATACCGTAGAGACAGCAATGCTCCACAGGGGAGGACTTCTGCGATCATCGTAACGCTGGCATGTTGGTTTGAATAAAACGCTGGGATTGAATTAGCTGATTACTTCAAGGTGAAATGCATTTTGTGGTTCCTTAAAGATCCATCTGTGGGTTTTAAACTGATATAAACTGATATACGTTTATATTGTATATCAGTTATCATATACGGTTTATATACGTATACCAATATAGGCCTTGACCCCCCTTCTATAAAGAAAATAAGCTAATCTAAATCATCTTAGGTAACTAACATCAAATATCTCCTGAACTTAAACTTTACCTTTGGAAACTATGACAATTATTTCAATGTAAGTTTGGCCAGTTGCACCAAACAAACAAAAATGTCTCAAAAACATTGCCTCGGATCAGACGTGTTTCGACATTTTGAACGAAAAAAAGAGTTTGATGTGTAATATGTGCATGGTATGTAAAGGCTGTGTCATTTGAACCTGTACAAATGTCATAGACGTTTGTTTAAATATGTATATAGGGTCTATTTTATGTCTTCTATATTAATTTTGCAGTAAGAGCTTTGTATAACTTAAATTTATCATTCATCTGATAATAAATGGTTTATTTCTGTTTTGTTCCTGAAAAAGTAAAAACCAGAACTGATCATTTTCAATTGCATATTTTAATGTCTTTTGATTAGGAAGTTTTAGGCTTGAAGTAATTTGGTAATTACATAGTAAAAATATATATTTTTTAAAGGTCTTACTTAAAGCTAGGGTATGTGAAAGAAAATATCAATACACTGAAATAACAGTATAACTGTTGGCAGTTTTTATCGCCTTCTTGTGATGAAATGAGATTTAGCGATGACACTGGATGTGTACTGTCAAATTGAGCTGAACGACGATCTACTGTTTCCCCATCAAAGTTGTGGTGTCAACCAACGTGCTCACCAAAGCTGCCTTGCCATGATCCTGACTGACCCAGGATCTGTTGTGTATTTTACAAATCAGAAATTTCCTCTTGGTTTTAAAAGTGTTACGGCGTTAGCAGTGAGCGGGCGGGGGGTTAGTAGTGCATCATATCACCAGATTCTTGTCTATACACACCCCTACTTAAAACATAATTATAATCCTTTGACAATATTTTGGGGATTCACGTTTTCAAAAACAAATATGTAAAAAGTCTCATTTTGCACTAAAGCTGATTTAAAAACAGAACACTTGAGTAAATAGCTGTTGCACTGTATTGGGTCTCATGACGGTTCCATAGCGTGTGAGTCTAGTTGTTACATAATGCATTGTTATCAAAAAACTCGTTGTCATTGGAGACACACACTCCAGACTAAACAAAAGAGAAATCTACCACAGCTTACTTAATGCAAAAAAACTAAATTTGCTGCAATCAAAAATAATTATAGATAATTTAAAAAAACATTCTCTAATTTTGTTACTAACTATTGATCCCTGACAACATAAACTTTCCAGTTGCAGGAAATGAATAAGTTTTCACCCCGCAGTAAAAAGGTTGAATGTTCTCCCTGTGCATGTGTGGATTTTCCCCGCTTACTCCAGTTTCCTCTCAGACCAATGCTTGTTCGGTTAATTGAAGACTCTATTTTGATCACAGCTGCTTACGATTAGCATTTAGCGGAAATCCTGAACGAAACCTCACAGAGACGCATGTTCCTTTTTCTGTTTCACACAAATCTGCTTTGCCATGAATTTGAGCCATTGGTTATTTAGTTCTCTGTTATTTCACATCATTATCATAATAAGTGACTCCAGTTTGGACACATTTCAGGCTCTTCTATTAATGTTGAACTGTTGCAAATGAGAATTACATCTCCTCAGACCTGAAGGAATTCAGTCTGTGGTAGTGAATCTCCACCCTATACTTACTCATTCAAAAGCCTTTTCATGAGCAATGTTTGTTTGTGCTTGTAAAAGACCAGCCATCCATTCGTCCCTGTAGTTTTTATTTAACTGCTGAAGACAAAAGAGTGAAAACAGAGGAAGGGAGCAGGGGTGACACCACACTGTCAAGAGAGCCTTGTAATTGGAGATGGGAGTATCATTCCACGAAAGGACCATGAACCCATATGAGAGGTCTTTGGGGAAGAGGACCCAGTGCTAACTGACCCACCTTTGTGTGTTGCAGATGGGAGGAGGAGCTGTCCAAACGAGAGCAGCTGGAGTCCACGGTGGAATCCCTGCAGCAGGTCTGGAAGCATAAACAATAAAACATCCTGCTAACACGAACATACACAAATATTTGACCTCTCGCCAAAGAAAACTAAAAATAAGTAAATTGTGATCGTGTACACAATAAAAGCATGGACTGAGCAGGGCCGGAGTGCATATCACATTAGAATAACCTGATTACAAACCCATCGAAAGAGGCTGCAGAACAAGATACAATGTAGATGTGAACATCTGATCTCACCAGCGGTCTGCCATGTTTCTGCCGGAGCAGGTGGAGGCAAATACAATAAAATAAAACTGCACCAGAGCAAAAACCCTTTTCTGTTTCTGCTTCTGCACAGATTGATTTGTAACAGTGTGTGTGTGTGTGTGTGTGAGACTGTCCTGGACTCTGGGTAAGCAAAAGGCTCGATAGCATGGCGGGGAGGGGGAGCCGCCCTCCCTCATGGGGGCTTTATTTTTACAGATTACACAACTGATGTACAGGAAAGGTAGAAAAGTGTTGCAAGTAAATTTAGTGCAAACCAACATTTATTAGAAGATGGCCTGGCACTTTATTACAGCGTTTGACCTTAAAACCATTCCCTCAAACACATTTTACTTAGAAATTTGAAAAGGTCTAAACATTCAAGCTCCCTTTAAAGCAGGTGGTGGCGGTCTTGGTCCTCGAGGGCTGTCCAGCAGGTTTCAGTTGTTTCTCTGCTTAAACACACCAGATTCGATCTGCTGGTGATTAACAGAAAAACGCTTCTGCAACGCAGACAACCTCACCAGGGAGACATCCTAAATAGATGCCCGTGCCACCTCAACTGGCTCCTCTCGATGTGGAGGAGCAGCCACTCCCGGATGGCTGAGCTTATTGCCCAGCCTCTAAGGGAGAACCCAGCCACCCTGCGGAGAAAACTAATTTCGGCCGCTTGTATGCACGATCTCGTTCTTTCAGTCACTACCCAAAGCTTGTGACCATAGGTGAGGGTAGGAACGTATATCAACCGGTAAATTGAGAACTTCACCTTCCAGCTCAGCTCTCTCTTCACAACGACAGATCGATACAACGCCCGTATCACTGTAGTCGCAGCACCAATCTGCCTATCGAGCTCCTTATCCAGCTTTCCATCACTCGTGAACAAGACGCCGAGATACTTAAACTCCTCCACTTGAGGCAGGACTTCAATCCTGACCCGGAGAAGGCATTCTACCTTTTTCCAACTCAAGACCATGGTCTCGGATTTAGAGGAGCTGATTCTCATCCCAGCTGCTTCACACTCGACTGCAAACCGCTCCAGTGAAAGCCGAAGATCACGTTCTGATGAAGCCAACAGGACCACATCATCTGCAAAAAGCAGAGACCTGATCCTCAGGCCACCAAAACGGATGCCCTCAACACCTTGGCTGCGCCTAGAAATCCTGTCCATAAAGGTTATGAACAGAATCGGTGACAAAGGGCAGCCTTGGCGGAGTCCAACTCTCACTGGGAACGAGCTCGACTTACTGGCGGCAATGCGGACCAAGCTCTAACGCTGGTCATACAGGGACCTAACAGCCCATATCAGAGGGTGTAGTACCCCATACTCTTAAGTATTTATGATCACATTTAAACCTTTATGTGCTCCCTCAGGGTGCCCGTGAGTCTTCAGAGGTCCAGGACTCGCTGAACGAGAAGGTGGACAGACTGAAAGCAGAACTCGTGGTCTTCAAGAGCCTCATGAGTGATGTAAGTATTTGTTCAGCACCAGGATGATGTCATAATCACTTCCCTAAGCTTGACAAAGCTTTTCTTTCATTGAGTAATAAAACTCAAAGCAAATATAGATGTACTAGCTGCATCGAAAACTGTTTTCCTAAGAATTAGGAGAATAAAAGTTATTTATTTGGTTTATTTGAGCAGCACACACACCCTCCCTTCCGTCCTTCCTTCCTCATTTAAACTCCTAACCTTTGTAATCCTTCAAGACAAGGAATCATTGAAAAGAGCTCAAATAGCAGTTTTAGATCAGAAACTCTTCCTGTTTCGGTATTGTTCCCTGGCAGGTGTGTTCTGGTGTGAGTATGGCTGAAGCAGAAAGCCCACTCACAGCTGCCGTTTTCTCTAACATTGCTTTGTTGTATTGTTGTCATTTTCATCCTCTTCCTCTTTACTTTAACAACTGTTAAAGTTGAGCTTTGATTCTGTTCCTTACTTCCTCTCGTATATGCGCATGCAGAGACGGGTAAGTGACTAAACTCTGAGGACTTCTTCTAGATTGCCTGGTGTTAAATAGTGAGCTGTAGACGTGATCCAGTCTGTATGCTGTGGCTTTGGTTTTAGATATAGTGAGTGACACACCTGTCATTTCACAGCAACAGGGGTGGTCCTCTAGTTATGGCTACTGCTGGACCAGGGATACATGTACAGTCTTAGTATTTGCCTCAAAATAGAATCTGACATTCAATTCAGTTTGTTTATATACCGCCAGGTGTCATTTAAAGGTGTGGAACACTGAAAAGCCATTTTTTAAAATCTTATTTGTGATTCTAATTGGTGACTGACTGTTTTTCATGCAGGCTGAACATGAAAATAGTCTCCTACACCTATCTTCTGCATTTGCTTCTGATAGAAAATAGATGGTGAAACTCTAGAATGTGAATATCCTGACAGATCTACGTCAGACATAGAACAGGGCATAGCGCCATGTACACAAAATGAAGTTAAAGGTGCAGTATGTAAGAATAAAGTGAGAATTTTACAGTGAGAAAATCCCAAAAGAGCCTAATGTTTCAGTCATTTAAGAAGGAAGGTTGTACTAAAACATCTTTCATTTCCAGCTGGCTGCAGGGATTGTCAGTTTTTCTCCTTTCAAAACAAAGAAGGAGGGACATAACTACTGTTTACCATCAGTGAGTGTGGGGTTGTTGTGTCTCCTGCGAGCTAATGCTGTAGCGCCGACAGCTGTAATATGACGATGGCCGGCACAAAGCTCCAGTGGTTGCAGTAACCACATTTTATCACAGGATGTCATTTTTACTTCATTTCTACATAATGCACCTTTAACCCACTGGTCAAAGGCTTACAAAATAAAGAAATATTAATAGAACTGCCAAAATTCATTAAAATTGCAATTAAGAAGTCACATTTTCTTGAATAAATTGGATATTTATCTATATTTTTCTAAAGTTTAACTAGTCAACAAAATGACTGCAAATGAAATAAAGCTAAAAACATTCCCATCCTACATAAATCTCCTCAGGGTCTTCGTAGAGAAATTGATTAGATGTCATTTAAATGCTCTACCTTCCCTTTGCAGCAAATGTCTGACCTGGACTCTAAGATCCAGGAGAAAGCCAGGCGAGTGGACATGGACATCTGCAGGCGCATTGACATCACAGCCAAACTGTGCGACGTAGCGCAGCAGCGCAACTCAGAGGACATGTCAAAAATGTTCAACGTCAGTCCTGCCAGGTCGCTCCCAGATAAGGTGCACTTCTCTCCACCTCGACTTACGTTTTGCTGCTTTGTTAGAAAAAGCTGACTGGAAATGCTGCAAAAAATAGTAATCCATCTGTAGAGCAAATATTAAGCTCAAATGAAAGTGAGCTGCCACATGGTGGCAACTGATACCTCAGCACCAGCTGATCATGCACTTAGTGACCTCTCTATGAGGTGCCAGCCCAAAAATATACTCGTAATCATACGTATGAAGAGATGCAAGTGAATGTACAGTAGTGACCTCTTATGAACACTCAAGTTTAAAAAAATAAAAGTCAGTTTTTTGCTTCGCAGGGCACAGTGGCATGCTGCAAGAGAAAAGAGCATAAAGGCGTGTCGGATGAGGAGAATTCAGAGATGGACGTCAAGCCGATAACTTCGGAGGAAGAAGTTCCTGGATCGCTCAACATCACGGATGAGATGAAACGCATGCTCAACCAGCTGTAAGACACCATCTTCATCAGTCCTGCTTATCCTTCAGAAAAAGACCTCCGTGTTCCTCAATACTGGTCTAGTACTTTACTTCATTTCCCCCTGCTGTTTAAATGAAGCATTGCACCTAACAGACAGCATGCTATTTTGATTAAACTCTTCTTGTGCAACGATGTAATTATTAATTGGCTTACGCCCCTTTGCATGCAGCCGTTGCTGAATTTATTGGCTGTTATACTTTTCTATACTTTCCTCCCTCTTCTTCTCTCTGTCCTTCCCCTTCTCTGCCCTACGCAGACATTGCTCAGATAACTCCTTTGTCGCCAGGCGCGAGACGTTCGAAATCGACGACGACTGCGACAGTCTAACGTGGGAGGAAAACGAGGAGACTCTGCTGCTGTGGGAGGACTTCACCAACTACAACGTGCCGTGCACCATCACCGCCGCTGCCACCACCACCGCAGCCTGCTCAACCTGCAATGGCAACGGAGAAGCTGCTGATCCGGTAAGTCTCGTCTTTAAAACAAACAGAACACTTAGACAGAATGCATTCTTTTAAATGCACACAAGTCCTGGATTAACCCTGCTAAGTCAGAGTGTAAATCATTGCTATGAATGCAGTGCAAGACATAAACTCATGCATGATAGATGAGGTCCGTCTGTGTTCTCTAAGGATTCCCAGGATGGAAGTCTTGGCAGCCTCATTGATGAAACAGAGTCGATATTTAGGAACAGAGAGCAGAAGTACCAGGAGACCATCGGCCAAATTGAGGTACACAGATCTGTAAATGATTTTAAAATGTAATCTAAATAAGTATGCTAGGAAACAGGAAGTATGAGTTTAGCAAGGAGTCCAAATAATTTAGCTTGATTGTTTTCATGCCAACAGACCTTTGCCGATTTCTTTTCCCCTTTCTTCTACAGTCCCACCTTTCAAGCCTTGTTCAGTTTTACTTCTGACCCCTCATTGGCAACTAGTCTACCGTAAATTACATAAATGCCAATGTATATCTACATGGTATGCTAGTTATTATAATGGCTTTTTATGGTGCCAGCCGACAGAAGACAGGCTGCATTCAGAGACAACAGATCCGTCACCTAAATGTTTCCCTACAAGAACAGAACCAACAACCATCAACAGAAAATGTAAAACAATTCTAAACGACAAGCATTCTGTCTGTTGAACTAGGCACCCCCGTTCTGGCTTTGCTTCCTGTTCAACTGATCCAAGCCGAGAACACACAACTCATGTTCAAAGGATGTTTAATGGATTAATCAGGATCCATGTTATGTGGGTTTTGTCCCATCTCCTAGATTCTACCCCAAACCGATTCAATCCAATCATTAAAAACAGGCTGTTCACAATGATTGGATGGTTTTTCTAGGGCAGGGGTAGACAACCCCGGTCCTAGAGAGCCGCAGTCCTGCTTGTTTTCCAGCTATCTTTGTTTTTCCTGCTGTTGACTACCTGGATCAGGTGTGTTCAGCCAATTAGAAGCTGCAAGTTCATGCATGGCTGGAAAACATGCAGGACTGTTACTCTCTAGGACCAGGGTTGCCTACCCCAGTTCTAGGGTGTTGCATTTCAGAGAGGATCAAGATTCTTCTTATTTTTTTTAATAAAACCTTTAATTCATTGGTAGATATTGGTATGCAAAGCACATTTCAAGCAAAACGGCAAAAATAACTCCAGAAAAACATCTCACACTGCACATTTAACAGACCATGTTTCGTTTATGATACAAAACTTTATTTTTACATGTGACATCTTGACTCCTGGTAACTATTTTTCTGTTCCTTCAGATGGAACTGGCAACGGCAAAAAGCGACATGAATCGCCATCTCCATGAGTACATGGAGATGTGCAGCATGAAAAGAGGCCTCGACGTGCAGATGGAGACCTGTCGACGGATGATTAAAGGGGGCAGGAACTCTCCTTCTTTCAGCTCGGTGGCTAGCAGCGACTCAGGGAACACAGACGAGATCCAGGATGAGATCTCGGACAAGGACGTAGAAACTGAAGTCCCAGTTAGTTGATGGTTGCACAGCTGGGTTTGATCCTGTCTCCTGGTGTTGGCCCAAAGTAATCAATCACGGGTTTAAAAGCGTGCCGGGCTTCATCTGGCAGGAGGGTGGAACAAACATAATGTTGGGTCAATTGGACCACGTTCTGGTGCAGGCTCAGAACTGGTGCTTTTATACTCTTTCGGTTGTTTAAAACGTGGTGGTGGTGGGGTGGGGGGTCTTTGCTGTGAGTAAATGCAGATGCCAAGCTGTGCTCTCTTCTTCACTTTCTGCCTCACAGCTCCACACCGTTTTATGGAGGAAAATCAACAAAACATTTTAAACAGGCTCAGAAATATTTTTTATCCTATTGAAATCCTTTTTTTAGAAAAGGAAATGAATATAGTACATATTGTACTTCTCTAGTCAGCAAAACTCAAACCCACACATCTTTTTAACTATTTATTTCAGATTGGAAAGTGTTAGTCCTCCCCCTCTTGGTTGGAGCACGGTCTTGTTTTTGCATTACTGTAATCTAGGTGTGGTCTTTGCTGTCTGCGTTAAACTGCTGGAGTTTAAATTTCTTCTGCCAGGGAGACAAAGAGACGGGGCAACGAGTGTTGTTAGACTTGTGGTGGTTTCTGAGGGAACTCAGCAGGCTTGCCAAAGTTGACAGAGGAATGGAGCACAGCCTTTTCACGCAGCGGTGCACTACTGAAGTTCTATGCAATTTAGCTGGCCTTATTTTTTTTTTGTACTTGCTGTCAACAATTTTAGCTTCTTACAACCAATAGCCTCTCAAGGAAAGTAGCCTTTTTACCTTTTAGTTTTGTTATTGATGGGGAACTTTAACTGGAACGGCGGTGTCAGATGTATTCATTTGTGGCAATATTCCTTTTTGCCTGTTGTTATTTGCTGCAGAAAGCAGGAAGTGCATTCCTCCAACTTTGATAGGATTCGATGAGGAACCATTGCTTATGTTTTGAGCAGATAGGTTGCACACATCCACCCATATACTTTAAAATGAAGCACAGGAGTTGTTTTATCACAACCTGAATAGGCTGAATGCCATCAAAGCTTAAAACGTTCATGCAAAACCAAAGGATGTTAGATACAGTTAGTTTTATCCATTTGATTTTAAGCAATCGCTCGATTTGATGTGTGGATTCAGTATAGCTTTGTAAAGTTTTACTTGTAGACCACGTATGCTGTCCTGCAGGGGGCGCTGCTCCAGACGGACCTTCTTCCTGCTTTGTTTTCTGAATGGGGCTACAAATGTCAGAATGTACATAGAGGCCTGTAGGCATGTGATTGTATTTACCCCAGAGGCCTTGTTTCCTGCTTTATCTGATTTGTTCCTGTTCAGCGCAGAAACCGATGACTGCATGAGGGCAGAAGTGACCTTTTAGTTTTTAAATCACCTCTTTGTTTTATTTTCTGTGTGTGGTTTGATGGTTCAAGAGTTGGTGTTAAAATTTAGGGCTTTTTGCTTTTGAAGCATGCTGTCGGAGGAAATAACGAAGCTATGAGTCCTTTTGTTTTCCTAAGATTATAACTCAGTCAATCATTGCGTAACTGAGGCAGAAAGTGTATTTTTCAAAGATTTTACCCAGACTGTTTAACCATTAAACTGTGTGGCCATATTTAACATTTAATCAAATATTTTGTCAGTGTTTGGTTAGCTAACGGGAGATTTAAGTGTTAATATCAATCAGAGTGAATTCTTGGAGAAGATGTCTCCGTAGTTAAGTTGATATAAAACCAGCCTGATGAGTAACTAAAGAGCCATTCTAATATCGCTACTGTCCTTCGCTGCAGCTGCGTCCCACATTGTTTAACGGCTGTCTGGCTCTAGCATCTGGGAACAGCAGGTCCTGTGTCTCTCACACTCCTCTGACCATCGCACTAACCAGCCAACCAAAGCAGACATGCAGAGTAACGTCAGGACAAACCATAAACCAGTCCCACTTACTCAGTCCACAGGGTTTCCTACTTCAGTAAATGTAAAAAACGACTGAATTGTCGCCACTCTCCCATCACTTGAAGCAGGTTGTACTTATCTCCGATAAAATAAAGCTAGTTTATGGAATGAAGCTTGACCCTAAAATAATAACTGCAAAAAAAAAAGGTGCAACGCCGTTGAAAACCCAGGGTGTGTGTTTAGCGTGTTTCTTTTGAGACGTCTGTGTGAGTTATGCTTTACTAAACAAGTTCTCGACCAGACCAACGTGTAAACCAGATCCTGCTGGATGTGAATATTTCATACTAAAAAGAGGTTTTATAAGGACAGTTTTTTATCCGTGACACACGGGGGGTTATAGGTTTGTGCTTTTTTGTTGTGTTGGCAGTTTTTCATGACCACCTGTCCTGTATTTTACAACAAGCAGATGAAAGCTGCTTAAACGTGTCAGTTTGCTCATTATGTTTAACGTGCCTTGCAGGTAGCATCTTTAGGTTATTTAAGTGGCTGTTTTAATTTACTTTACTTCATTTTTCTTAGTTTTGTAAGTTTATCTTTTTTTTGTTGAAACTATTTATACAGTGTATTCTTGAGGGAGTTGGGCAATCTTGGTTTTAAAATGATGAATGTAATCAGCTGATTTTGGGGATTACTATAATAAAGAACGGGTTGGTTAAAATTTAGATTTCTAGTCTAATTTCTACCGCTTTATCTCTCTTTTATATTGTCTTTGTTTATTTTTAGGTTTAGAGACTTTCCTTTAGTCATTTTTATTGTCTCAGCACAAAAACACAGCTTCATTTTAATTATACGTTTATTATTTTTTAAAAGCAGTTACATCCAGGAAGCCACTACGCTAATGAAATAACTGATTTGCCACAAGGTGGTTATTCTTATTCCAACATCATCCATTATTAAATTACATTTAAAAACAGATTATTAAAGGCTAATAATACATTTATTTTCAAATTTCAAGGAATAAAAACCATAAAATAGTTTTTAAATGCATAAAATTAAGTATATCATGCTTAAATGCAAATAAAAACTTACAAAAAAAAACAGATCCAGCACGGCAGCGTCTCTCGAGATGTTAGGACATTTTTTAAGCTTAAATTGTCAGGACACACAGAAATATACGAGGGGTATAAAAATTACAGCAACTAGTTGGTTGGTTGTTTTTCTAAACCAGGAAGTTGTACAGAGACTGCGTGTACCAGTCTCATCCATCCACTTCAAGAAAAACGATTCTCTTCGCCACATTCCCCTCACCGTATTTCTCCAGCAGCCTCTGGCGAACATCAGGATTGGCTGAGAGCAAAAGATGGTCGTCGTGTGGATCCCAGATGAGCGCAGAAACCGAGGAGGGGTTCAGGAGCAGGTCCAGAGCAGCAGAGAAGTCTCCGCTGACTTTTAACAGAGCTTTGGTCACACTCACCAAGTCCTAGTGACAAATTAAGTTTAAAGAGATTATTTCTGAGACAGGGAGGTAAAATGACACCTCATCAGGGCTGTAGTTTATATCCTAACACCTAGGTTCGGTTCAGATTTTTGTCAGATCAAACAAAAAGAAAACCCCAGAACTCACCTGGTTTGTCTGGGCGATCAGGTCTCTGATTCGCCGTTTGTCCTCCTCTAATTGCACCTGAGTCAGAGAAAAGGGAGCGTCTTTGATCCCCGTGGGCTGAGGTTCGGGCTGAGCAGCTGAAGCTTCACCAACAAATTGAGAATCATCTTCCTGAGATTCACTGTCAAATATAAACAGATGTGCCTTTGAGGACGCTCCGACAGCGTCAGAACAGTTCTTCTCGGCAGGCGCAGCAACGGACGGGCCCGAGTTTGATTCACAGTCGTCCCCCGAGACCCGCCCCTCCCTTCCATCGTCCTGAAGGTGAGTTCTGGTGTCAGCATGGGACCTAGCTGGAGTGGGACCTGCAGGTGTGTCCCGGGGTTGGTGGAGAAGTTCTGCCGATGTGGTGGCTGTTTCAGGACGGTCTGGATCTTCAGACTAAAACATAAAAATATCACATTAATCTTTAGCAATTTCATCAAGCTGATGAAACTTTACATGTTATTCAAAAAATGATGTGCCCCATTCGATACATACCAACATCTAAAAGGTCATTTTAACAATAAATCAAGTAAAAGTCATTTAAATGTTTTAGAAGATTGAAACGGAGATTAGATGTAAGAAACCCCCAAACAACTCACAAATTTAAAGAATTCAGAGGAATGCTTCATCAAAAATCTCATCAGAAACTGGAAAAAGATAAATGCTGAATAATTTTGGCTAAATAAGGAAACCGAGCAAAGCCTGAAAATATTACACAATGATGATGTAATCATGACGAAGCCTACCTCGTTATCATCTTCAAACTCATTTCTTGCCAGTTCAAGAATCCCCCGCGTCCTTTTTTCTTTTCTCTTCCCTCCTTTCTGTGGCGCTGAATTCATTTCATCTTGAAAATAGAAATAAAAAATATCAGCCCAAATTTCTTCTGATGTCTAGTAAGAAATAATAAATACCAACAAACCTGTTTGTGCCAGTTTAGAGTCTGGGACGCTTTTCTCCAGCCGACCGTCTGAGTGAGTGCCCCTTTGGTCCGGCTCAGCCTCCGAGTCAGAACCGCTTTGCTCCAGCCGATTTTCTGCTCCTGCCCTCCCCCATCTGGTTCCATTTTGTGCCTGGTCTTTTGAGATGTTCCGAGGTGCAGACTTCCTAGTTAATTTGATCTTCTTTGAGAGCTGTGGCGATGATGTGGCCTGCTCAGTGCTGCGTGTGGAAGATCTGAGTTTTTTTGCATAAGGCTCAGGGGATGATGATGACGATGATGATGATAAGGCCTCCAGCCCAAGACGCCTGCGTGATACTCGACGCTGTGGTTGCTCCAGTCTGAGAGAAGCCTCCATCTTGTCTCTTGGACTTTTAGAAGTAGATTTAGGGGTGGCCTTAGGCTGAGCTGCAGGGGAGTCTTTATGCAAATGTAGGTTTTGTAGAGTTTTTGTTTGAGGTTCATCTCGTTCTGATTCACTGCCCTCGGCTGTTCTCAACTGCTGGTCAGAATTCTCAGTTTGAGTGGTGGGAGATGTAGCTTCCACACATGGTTGTTTATCCACCTCCTGATCCTGTCGCTCTTCCACCTGAGCAGTGACTGCTGCCTGCGGATCTTGGTTTTCAAGTGTGCATCCTGCAGCTGTGGCCTGGACGTCAATCTGTAAAGATACCAAATAGTTCCTGTCCAGTTCTTTTAAATCTAAAACAAACATCGTGTCTTTGAAACAAAAACAGCTCCTGTTTTTTCCGTACACACAATCCAAGCTTTGACCTATGGCTGCACCTGTGTTAAGTCAGAATCTGCCGAAGGAGGACGAGCAATCTCAGCTTCACAGGAAGATTTGTCAGCATCACATTCTTGATTTGATTCCATCTAAAAACAGAACAACATTTTAATTATGTAGAATCAGTGCCACCTGGTGGTAGCAATCACCTCCTGTTTTTGTTTGATTCATTAAAAAAAGAAGCTAAAAGTAAAAAAAAACAAACAAATAAAAGTATTTTTTTCAACTGTGAGGGATGTTTTTCATATTTATAGTAAAAATATTATTATTATCAAACTATAGTTGTGTGTGTGATGGACAACTCCACTGGGATTGGGTTCGACTGGACTGAAAACTAAAATACTTGTTTAGGTTACACAACACAATATTTCACAATAGGTGAATGTGACTCACAATGTACAGCACTTTAAGTGGTCGGGAAGGCCAGTAAAGCCATTTAAGTGGTTTATTACCTTTGCCGTCTCATCATCATCTTCTGTCGCTTTGACCTCCAAGTCCTTTGACTGTCGTCTTTTCAGCAGGCGTTTATGTCTGTCTTTCATGGACTGCCAGCTGTGATTGGTCACACGCTTCTCCTCCATCTCTAGCCAAAGCCGGTTCCCCCCAGTCATTTTCATCCGTTTGCTGACATAATGAAAAATGGCAGCATCCTCTTCAGGTGTGAAGGTCATCCTGCCTGATTATAAAATCCTAAATATGAATACATGACTAAAATTGAGTTGTGTGTAAAGTTTATATCTTTTATTTTTACAGGACAAAACAAAGTGTAAAATATAGTTGACCGCAAATCATTTAAAATGCTCTAAAAGGTATTTGTTTTAGTTCACACCATACCTGGTGAAGCTTTGGCTGAGCTGTCTTTGCTTTTGTTGAGTCCAGGATTTTGCTTTTGGGCCACTTCAGGATCTAACTTGAAGTCTTCTATGTTAAGCTGTTCCCCCTTCTCAATACTTTCATGAATAAACTGGGTGGACACGTACCTAAAACATACATTTTTAATATATAAAAACAAACAGCAGATTCTTATAGGTAACTATAAGATTATACATTTTATAAGTAAAAATCGCAGACATGGTCACAGCATGATTTGCCACAGCTTTTCATGTTACAATATGAATCATAAACTAATCAAACATCCTATGATTCTTTTACTGATGTAGCATTAAACTGTCATTACTTCTTGATTAAATGGACAACACTATATGTTTGTGACTGTTCCTGGAGTCATTTCAGCTCATCGGCTCACCAACCTGTGAGCCGCAGACTCAGGAACAAATCTCCCATCCTCAGGAGCGATCAGCAGGATGGCTCCAGGCTGCTGGGTTCTGCACAAGATCCCTCCTCCAGCTGATATGAGAGGCTGGAGCTTGCGTTTGATGGGCCCTGGATGCAGAAAAAAAGACATGGGCTCACCGTCCTCGTTCAAGAAGAGGACAGGAGAGATAGATGCGGCTGGGCCTTGCTGTTTAGACGGCATCGTGAAGCTATCTGGTGGAAGAAAGATAAAAAAAACTATGAATTATTAATTATTTGAAAAACATTCACTGTTTATTTATGCAAATACCACTGTTGGTACTTGCGGTCAAAGTAAGATTACAAAGAAAACCAACATGATTTATCTCTTTAAAAAGTTGGGTCACAGAAAATTCGTCTCGTGTACGTTCAGTTATGGCTTCTAAAACGCAGGTTTTGATGCAACTTTCAAACGGTTACAAAAAAATTCACGTTAACATTTGTTACATGTTTTTCTTATTTTAGATAAACAACTAAACAGAATAGAAGAAAACAGGTAGAAGCTAGCATTCCTGTTAAGAGAACGAAAAGCTCAGATTACTCAGCTAGTCCAAATAGCTGAAAATGGTTAAATCTTGTGCTCAGTGCAACCTGATATTCGGTAAATCGACCATAAAATCACCACTGGCTTTTTAAACCTCACAAACACACATAAAAACGACTCCATTTAAAACCTGGGCAAAAGAAGAGACCATTTATATTTGCTTACCTCCAAGCAGAGCTTTCCCGCCTTGACAAAAACAACAGTATGTTGACTTCCGGGTGATTCTTCTTCGGTGAATTTTATGTGTGGACAGGCAATACCGCCCCCTCCTGTTTGCATGTAAGATTCACAAAATAATGACGACAACAACAAATAGATAATAGTAATAATAATAATAATAATAATAATAATAATAATAATAATAATAATAATAATAATAATAATAATAATAATAATAATAATAAATTTATGTTTATGTATTTAGCAGACGCTTTTGTCCCAAGCGACTTACAAGTGATAATCGGCATATTGCCCTTGAGGCTAACAACAACAATAACAGCAACAACAACAACATTGACATCAGTCATGGAGAGTAGGGAACAAGGAGTGGACAGTAGAGAGGGGGGACAGGTGCAGGCAAGGTGCTAGTTAAGAAGATGCTCTCTGAAGAGCGGGGTCTTCAGGAGTTTCTTGAAAATTGAAAAGGAAGCCGCAGTTCTGGTAGTGCTTGGAAGGTCATTCCACATTTGTGATAATAAATAATAACAATAATAATAATAATAATAATAATAATAATAATAATAATAATATAAATAAAAATATTTATCTGGGACATTTTTGCTGTAAGATAATTGCTTACCACTCAACAATTTCTGTGAATTATAAAAAACTTATCACAGAAAAAAGAACAGGGCTGAATGCCAAATATACATCTTTTTTTTACTTTTTTTAAACTAAAAAGTATTTCAAGACACCTTAAAACAGTTTACACAGTATGATCTAGTAAAATTATGAAATGTTTGAAACAGTCCATCTAATGTTATTTCCATCTGCTCTTCCTCTAAATACCTCCTCCTCCTTTTTACTGCAGAGCTTGCGTCATTGCACCAGCTTTTTTCCTATTAAAAACTATTGAAGACATTCACATTGTTGCATTTGGTTTTCTAAGTGTTTTAACACCAACCTGCCAGATAATACCCTGTATATCTGCTGCATTCACAGGGTAAACATATGATTACAAATGTGCATTGTTTCTGCTGTCCCTGTTTAAAGAAAACAATGAAAAAGATCTGACTGTTTATTGCCTCCAGACTGAAATGTGATTAAAACACATACACACACTAGAACAGCTAAATTACATTTCTTTTGTTCATTATTATGTTTAAAAGATAAATGAATCAGAGACAGAATAATAAAATCATAACAAAATTAAACAACAAACTATCTAAAATAATCTTTCATTGTCTGATTGAAACAACCCTTCTGGACAAACACATCTGAGCTCAGTGGGAGACATCTGATTGTTTTTTGTGTCCCAGAGGATTAGAAAATGAAAAATGTACTGATGTCAGCACCTTATTACAAACCCATGACTGTTGCTTCAATCTGATACTTTTGAGTAAAATATAAACAGAAGTAACTTTTTCTAGAATCTCATGATGAAGTTCAGCTGGTGTTTGTGTCGTTTGGACTTAAGTAATGTTTGGTTTCTGAATTGGCTAAAATTGAGACACGTCTGATGACATGCTTGTGTTTTTTCTGCAGCGTAGTGGGAAAAAGTGACCAAAACTTTGACCACAAGGTCTTCATTTCCTTATGTCTTTTAGGGTCATTAAGCTTTTTTATTGGAAAACTCTCCCATTTGTGACTCAGCTTCAAAAGAGCAAGATTTAAACCTGCCCAGGTGTGTCTTGGTGTATGTTATGGGGGTCATTTGTGATATTTATGAGGGTTTAGGTTCAACACAGGCTGAGAGATCAGCCCTAATCAGCATTAATTCCAGGTTTTGATTAACCCTACCTTAACCCTAGCCCTTTTAAACACAACATAGTTTCTCTTTATCACGTGAAACACAGTATGAACACAGTGACTTCACCTCCCTCACATTTCTGACAGCTTCAGTATTACTACTAGCCCCCGTAGCTCTCCTTGTTCAGCTCAACCAGCTGAAACAATACAGCCACAGAGGAGCTGCAACTCCTCTTTAAAATATGTTTACATATAATCTGTAATAATTACAGAGCTATGCAGACATTTGCTTCCTCAAGCTGATTTTAATCAATCTTTGGCCTGATCTGCTGCCCTGTTCCTGAGTTATTATCACCATAAAAGCAATGATCTGATGTGCTGATAGCAGCAGATGTTCGTTTCCCTCCACACCAACAGCCGTGGTAATGATGTGCGGTCAGGTCGTCTCAGCTGACAGTTTGGTTTGGTCTCAGTCCCCTGGTCGGGAGGCTGAGTGGAGCAGCCAGCAGAGAGCGATGTTGCATTTTTACTGGCCTCCAGCTCCCAGCCTTCAACAGAGTCAGACTTCATAAACCTTTGGGGTTGTTTTTTTTTTTTTTTTACCTTTGAAAACCTAAAAACCTTCATAGGGAGACTAAGTCACACCCATCGACTTCCAGACCACGGGTGAATGGGAAGGGGAGTCTATGAGTGGATAAGTTATTTATTTATCCTGTGCCATGGATTTCACTTATGATGTCTGTAACTTTTAAAGACACATTTGATGCCATAAGGAAGCACTTATTTTCTAAAGGTGGCAAATTTATTTTAGGTTTTGTGTTAAGAGACGAAATAGACTACAAATGTTCGTCTCACCAAATTGACGTCATCAAACGGAGAAGAGTAGATTTGTTTAGCGAGCTTTGAATCCTTCTTCCAGGATGACAGAAGGAACATTTAATGTTGGGAAAACCACTATAAATCTGTCCATGTGGAAGTAGCAGCCACACTGTGGAGAGGAAGTTCTGCATTGAATGTAGCATGCATTCATAAATTCGTTTCTTCTTACTAGTCTGTTGAATGAAAGTAATAAGTAACAAATGTAAACATCAGCAGTTTGGATGCATTTTCTTAGTATTCCTGAAAAAATTACTGAAGTTTTAAGCTTTACAAAGCACATTGACAAAAAGCTGTAAAATCTAAGGGCCTGTATTTGTTTAAATGAACCCAGTGCCACAGCACTTTTAAACCCCAAGATGCAATGATAGTGACTCCTTTTCATTTTAGTAATCATGACACTCGCAAAAAATAAAATAACATCAGAAGTCCATGTAAACATGTTTGTATCATGGAATTCCTAACGATGTAAAGGATTTATAAGACTCATAACCGCAGACATTTTCACTGTAAGAAGCTGTTCAGGAAGCAGTGAAAATTATTTATGTTGCAGTTTTTACACAGATGTTCACTTCAAATTGAGCAAAATGTTCATTTAAAGGAAGTGTCAGCCCTTCATAATTGGCAAGGTGTAATGTAATGTTGCTTTATTAAGAGACCCCCCAGCAGGGGCAGTTCCATAAGGGGGTGTCGGGGTTGGGGGGGGGGGGGGGGGGGCACTACCACCTTGATAATTTAGCCAAATGTGAGGTGTGGAACCAAAGCATGTGAATGCCTTTATCTGAAAGTGGAAAGAGATGCTGAGAGGAATACATTCATGTTCTTATTGAGATAAATAACTAAGGTATTAGTGTTATTTTTGCAAAGTAGTTATATTTTACAACTTATTGAAGCTTTAATGTCTAAAGCAACTGTGAACTGATTTGCTGTTGTTATGCTGTTGTAATTAAACAAAAAAAATTGAAATATCTAAAGTGACGTTTGTGATGTTTTCTTACAAATGTGCCTCTTTGACGCAGCAGATGGTCCCTGGCAAGATGAGTTTCTATGTAGAATCAGACAAAACAAAAAGTTAACGTTTTTACATAAATTGTTGTTGCTAGTATTTTAAACCAACCAAAGAAAGGAAGAAACAGTACGTTAACTTCTATAAGTAGCACGGATAAAATGCCCAGTGACTCACTTAAGAAAAAAATTCTGACAAATGTGATGATGGCGGGATGAAGCAAATATCCTGTCACAATACAAAAGCGTTTCTTCATCATCGTGTCATTGTGACACAAAATGTGATTAAACTAGTTTGTTTCTAGGTCAATAGAAGCTTTCTAATGGGAAGGCTAACTCACGCCCATCTACTTCAGGACCATGGGTCCCCTACTGCCCAAAAAAATGAATGGGACTCTATGAAGCGATGAAAATAATTTTATTATCCCATGTGATATATTCCATAAAATTTAACATATGATGCCTTAAAAATTTTAAGAACACATTAATGCTAAACAATTGCTTATTTTGACAGGTGTCAAAAGTCATATTAGGTTTTACGTGAAAAGACACAGTGGAATACAATTGCTCTTCTCACAAAAAGTATGTCATCAAACCAGATCAGACAAAGAGCAGTCTGAAGACCTCTTATGAGAATTATATAAATGGAAAACGTGTTCCCTCACCCGGATGTGGGTCACCAGGGCCCCCCTCTGGAGCCAGGCCTGGAGGTGGGGCATGTTGGCAAGCGCCTGGTGGCCAGGCTTTCACCCATGGAGCCCGGCCGGGCACAGGCCGAAGAGGAAACGTGTGTCCCCCTTCTCATGGGCTCACCACTTGTGGGAGGGGCCAAAGGGGTCAGGTGCAGTGTGTGATGGGTGGTAGTCGAGGGAGGGGACCTTGGTGATCTGGTCCTCGGCTACAGAAGCTGGCTCGTGGCACATGAAATGTCATCTCTCTGGTGGGGAAGGAGCCTGAGTTGGTGTGTGAGGTTGAGAGGTTCCAACTAGATATAGTTGGACTCACCTCAACGCATGGCTCTGGCTCTGGAACCAGTTTCCTTGAGAGGGGTTGGACTTTCTACCACTCTGGAGTTGATCCCACTGACAGGCACCGAGCAGGGGTGGGCATACTAGTTCCCCCCATCTTGGTATCTGTACGTTGGGGTTTACCCCAGTGAATGAGAGGGTAGCCTCCCTCCGCCTACGTGTGGGGGGACGGGCTCTGACTGTGGTCTGTGCTTATGCACCAAACTACAGTTCAGACTACCCACCCTTTTTGGAGACCTTGGAGGGGGTGCTGGAAAGCGCTCCTTCCGGTGACTCCCTCGTTCTGCTGGGGGACTTTTAACGCTCACGTGGGCAATGACAGTGAACCCTGTAGAGGTGTGGCTGGGAGGAACGACCCCCCTGAGCTGAATTCGAGTGGTGTTTTGTTATTGGACTTCTGTGCCAGTCATGGATTGCCCATAATGAACACCATGTTCAGACATAAAGGTGTC